GAGGGGAGAGAGAAGAGCAGGCACCCTGGGACTGGAGTAGACCGGCTTAACGCAATTTCCTTGATGAATAAATGAGATGGGATTTGCTGGTCCGCTGGCCGGAACCGTCAGAACGCGCCACACCGCTCTACGCCCACGCTGCGCCACGCCACGTCACGCCACGCCACGCCGCGCCAGCGCCGCAACCGAAACCGGAGGTCCAAGTCGATACGCGAGGGGGTGCGGGCCCCAGCCGGACCCGCTTCGGACCCGTTTGGTCGGACATCTCCGATTTGCCGCTATTGTCCGCCAGGGGCAGCCGGCGGACATTCAAGGGACAACTTTGTGCAACCAATGGCGCCGCCGCTGCAGCCGCGCTGCGGAGCGAGGGGCGTGGCGGGGCGTGGCGGGGCAAAAGGACGCGCTACATCACGGGGACACCCGTATGCAAAGGGCCCCGCACACTCACATACACACCAGGGCCACACATCACACCCGCACACATCCACACTCGCAGTGTCAAGTACCTGCCCTGCGTATGCATTTCAGCTGACATCATCCATGATTTGTGTCAAGCGCCTTGGCTCGCCCCTGCTCCTCCCCTCCACAAACAGTCGCGCACGCGCGCGCGCACACGCACACGCGCGCACCGCGATGACAGTTGTGTCTCACTAGAGGGCCGGGCAGGAAGAGCTGTAGCAACAAGAGGACGCAATAACCGGCGGGGAAACCCCTGGTAGTTATGCAGACCCGCCGGACAGCTCTGTGGCCGGGTTGCCTACGTCCTTGGCGGCCGCCGGCACCATACCCGCTAGGGCCTGATGGTTTCGTTTCCGTTTGTCTCTCGCCCCTCTTCTTTTTTTTCTTATTTTTTTCCTCTTGTTGTGCTCTCTTTTTCACACAGCACCGTTGGCACCGAGCGGGGTTCGAACCAGGGGCACCTCTCCTCCAATCCGATAAGCACGATCATTACTCGCCGCCAGCCTCAACGGCCTGGATGCGGGCGGAGCGGCGCGGAGCGGGCGAGGCTCTCGGGGAGGTAATAGGTTGGGGATTACGGAGACCTGTGATCAACTCAACACGTCGACCGTTAGGGGTTGAAACCGGGAGAAACGAAGAGAGAAAAAAAAAGAAGAGAGAAGCGATTCGATTCGAACCAGAATAACGGAGAAAAGAGGATCAGGCGAGAGAACGGGGGGCGAGGAGAGAGTTGTATCCGATATTCTCGCGGCGAACGTAATAATTGACGTTTCCTCGTAATGAGGCCGCTCATTATGGCCTTTTGTCTCGCCGTCACCAACAAGCACACACAAAGCTACTGTTCTTGGCCGCTTTGCTTTCTTCGAGCTCAACTCCTCCCCTCCTCCCTAAAAATGTACCCTTTACGGAAGACGCCGAATTACGCAATCCAGTAGGACAATTCTTGGTAGGATTAAAGAAAGATGTTGTCATGGCATACAGGGGGGGGGGCTAACATTTCTATTTCCCGCACGACAAAGCGACAAAAATAATAATAGAACCTGGGAGGCGGCAGCAAGAGCGCGTCGCCTTTTGCTCCTGCATTACAATTTCCGGGCCCAAAGTCCCTCTAAGAAGAACCCTTTTCGCGGAAAGTCATTACAGAAAATTGTTTCTCAGGGCGTGAAGTAGGCTTTCGTGGCCACCTTCCGCGCACGTCGCCGAATCAGACTTTCTATTCCCCTTTTCTTTCGACTGGTTATTATATTTGCTCGCCCTTGTACGTCGGTGTAGCAAACTGAGGGACTTCGAACCCCACCATCCCCTTAACGCTATGTTCTAAGACGCAGTTTTTTTTGACAGGGTGCAAATGGCGGCTGCGCAGATGGCGGCTGCCGCGGGGCGGGTGCCTCGTCGAATAATACATTCCGAAAGCCAGTCATTTTTCATGATTCGGGTGGCTCCCGTCCCGAAATAAACCATCAGCTAGGCGATCGGGCGGGCGAGCCGCAGCCACCGCTTAACTAACCGTCCATCCATCCACTCCGCCATCCACCCGAGCATCCATCCATCAAAACAGCACCCGCATGGCCTGCAGAGGCCCGGGCTAGCCCCATAGCACTGCAAAAGATTTTTGTAGGTTTTCCCCGTGCCGTAAAATTACGATTTGAAATTGTGTAATCACAAAATAATGTATCGAATTATTCTTTTTCGGGCAAGACAGCCGTAACTTTTTGATACCGAACGAAAAAAAATACCGTACGTAAAATGTTAAATGCAAATAAAATGATTAAGTTAAAGAAGACATTTCTCGCAGTGAGGCACTCCCCCCGGGCTTTACCCCTCCCCGCGATGGTGAACGGTGGTGCGCGCCACGGGCAAAGACCAACAGCGTCCCATCCAAATTTTTAATTCTCTTCCTTTAACACCCTGCGGCTACGTTGCTACACAGCGGTTCGATTCGGGCGACAGCTGCACTATTTCAACAGTTAACAGTTTGACAAAATTCCTTCTATTGTGGGAATTTGCACCGATAGAGGGAATTGTACGCTCGACCGTTACAACAATGAGAGTGCCCTACTGTTGGATTTTAAGAGTAGCGTGGCTTTTTTAATGGCGTTCGATCGCCACGCAGATTTATGTTTGTCTCAGGGCGAAGCAGACTTACAAAAGACGCACTCGCCAGCTATTTGCCTTTCAAAACGACGGACGGAACGAATACAAAGTCATTCTACCCCCCTCCACCACCACCACCCCTTCGTTTTTTTCTCTCTCTCCTTTAACCTCTTCGCCCCTTTCTTACTACTGGTTTCCCTCGTTTCCCTCCTTTTTTCCGGCAGCAGTGTGCGACTGACTGCTCGATGGCCTAAAGCCGCACCAGGCGCAAGAAGGCCAGGGTGAAATAGAGACTCTCTCTCCCTCTGCTCATTCATTTTTCCCTTCACTCCTTCTCTCTCCATCTTCACTCTCCGACGCCTCCTTGCTCGCTCCCACCCTCCCGTATCTTCGCCGCCTCTCCTCTCTTGGGTTCGTATTCCTTTCAATTCGCAGGCGCGGTGGCCGGATTCGTCCCGACGCTATCATACATGTGCATCTCTGCTCTAAGCCAAGTCCAAAGAAAAACAAACTACACAAGAAAATGCGGTACCTTTCTCGTCCGAAGGAGAGAAAACGGAAAGCGGCGAAGAGTGTGTCTCATCATCACGTTTTGGTAGAGAGAAAAAAATGCAAGGAAACTTGTTCAGGGACAAACTAAAAGGAAAAAAAGGACAGAATAAAAAATAGCTTCCATAACTAAAAGGGGCTTAAGAGAAGAATACACTGGCGAAAATGACGGCATTAAAATTTTTGACGCAGCCGTCACCAACCACGCCCTGAGATTACGACGAGAGATCCGCACAGCCCCGCCAGCCAGCCCCGGCCCGTCATCTTGCAAGCGAAGCAAATCTGCATGAAGGCGGATGAGACCCGAAAGGGAGTGAGTGGGGAAGTGAGGGTGGAAAGGGGAGGGGCTGAACTGAGGGGAGAGCGGGCGGGGGAAGAGGGTGGTCGGCGGGTGAGGGGCAAAGTGAAGGGGAGGAAGAGGACAGAGCTTCACGCCGCGCATCACACCCAATGCATAACTACCGGCGTGCCCGCCCCACCCGCCCGCCTGACCCCCAAAGACAACAAAACACGACAGCCAACTTGGAGATTGATTCCTCCACTGTCCCTGCGCCCGGGCCCCGCAACCTCCCTCCTCGTCTTCCTCCACCACCAGCAGCGCGGCGGCGCCCGCCCGGCCACCCAAGTTTGCTACACAAAACAAGGAAAAAGCCTCACCATTAGGGCGTGCGAAACAGACACGCAAACACACGCGTTCCCCCGAGAGAGCGCTAGAGTGAGAGACGGGAGAGGAAAAAATAAAATATATATAGAGAGACGCGAAAAAGAAACGGAATGTTTGCTTCCCATATTGACAGCCACTCCGCGTCGCCTCATCATTCGGCCAGAGACATAGGGGAGATTAGGAGCAATGTGCGCGCGCGTTATGCCGTTTTTATCTTTCAATTCCTCCCCCTCCCTCTCCATTTTTTTCGTAGCCTCGCTGCTTTACTCCCGACTGCGTAGGAGGAGTACACTACGCACGAAAGAGGGCGAAAAGGGAG